ATCTTGTGTTACATTAAAAAAAGAATTGATTTTTTAAAAAATTAGAAATAATTTTTTATATTTTATCGAGTTTTATAATAGAAATTTATTTTGATATTTTATTAACTATTTTATTAATTATTATAAGAGAATAAAGAAATAAATATTATTGATGAATAAAATTATTGATTATTACTGTCAATTTTTTGGATTTTCAATTTCTTTTATGAAACAAACAATTGATATAAAATATAATATATTATTATAGTATTATAATATAATATAATTTGTTTAATTCTTATTTTAAATGGTATAAAATGAGTTTATATATTTGATAAGTAAACAACAATATAATATGTTGCAATATGGATAAGTTTTCCAGTGTTTTATAAAATATAGAGAAGAAACTTTTTTTAAGAAATAAATTATTCATTAATTAAGTAATGAAATGAGTTTTTATCTTTATATATATATGATATTACATAATATAATCTTAATGTTATTGATATATGTGAATGACTACTCATAATATTTTCTTACGATTTATGTATTTTTTATTTTTTTCTATGATATTTTTATAACAAAATGTTAATATCTTCATTTGCATCATAACTCTTGTATTTAATTTTAAATATTAATTTCAAAGACATTCATCATCTCGTATCAGCACATATTAATAAATTTTTTCATTTCAAAAATTTTTCACATTCAGAAAATTATTTAAAAATTACATTTAATAATCAAAACAAAAGTTAATATTATAAATCTATATAGTAAATACATTTAGAATAAATATTAGATTTTTATTAGTATAATATATAATATAATAATACTAATTAGTTATAAATAATAAATAATTTTTAAAATAATCGATTGTAAATATCATGTTTAAAAATAGTTTTTCTTCTAAGTGATTTAAATAAACATGATCGTTTAGATATATTAGTTTTCCTTCTTTTTGCTATCGTTAAAGTGGGAAAGTACCGGAAAATACCAGTATATCTTGTTATTGAATTATTGATAGAAAATGATAAAAATGTCTCTCTAATCTTTTTTTAAATTTTTTACAATAATTTCTTCTGTTAGTTTTTATTTATAAATATATTTATAAATATAAAAACAATTTTTTTAATATTTTTAAAAAGAATATAATCATTCAATAATATCATGTTTATAAAATAAAAAAATATTTATTTTTTATATATTTTTGTCGTAATTTTAAAATTTTTTCTTCAGTATATCGTTTTTTTTTCTTGTTCAGCATAATTTAAATAATGCATTAATGATAAAATGATAAAATTGTTATATATATATTATAATAATTATATATATTATAATAATGTACATATAATAATGACATATATATGTAACTTTAATAACTTCTTAAATTAATTTTATAAAATTATAGTTTTTGCTTATCAATGCTTATCAAGAAGATTTATTAATACTACTTTTAGAAAAATATATTTAATTTTTCAAATTTCATTTAATTTAACAATATTTATTTAATTTTTTTTCTTTTAAATTGTTATTTCTTTAAAATATGTAAAGATTTACAAGACTAAATATATTACGTTAATATAAAAAAAAAAAAATAATAAAATCAGATGTAAATAAATAAATATAAATATAGAACAAATTTTGATAATATTGTTTTTAACTATATTATTGTTTTTAACTATATTAACTATATTATATATATAATATAACTATATTATTGTTTTTAATTATTTCATATTTTAATGTATATTTAATGTTTAATTATAATAAATTATAATTTAATTTACTGCATTCTTATGTAATATTATTTATTACAAAAAAATTATTTATTATTATTATAACTAAAATTATGGAAGATTACAGTAACTTGATATTGAGATATATAATACGAATTATAAAAGAATCGTACAGTATATTATAAATCTGCACATTATTCTTACCATTGAATAAAAACTTACCGAAAACTTTATCGAATTTATTTTATCATCATCACTAGTGAAAATTATAGTGACCATAATTTTTTTGTATATGTGTGGTAATACTTTCAATCTTATTTTTGTAAAATATAGTTTTAAAATTTAATTTTTAAATATGTTATAATTTATTATCATAAAACATCTATAAAATAAAAATATAAGTCTTACAAATATAGATAAATTATTAATTATAAGATTTTTTAAATATTTATGTTTAAACTAATTATAATTATAATATAAATTAAAATTAAATCATTTATCATGCAATGTTTTGTGTACTTCTAGTGATTTGTTTCGTTGAATGTAGTATAACCAAATATAATATCAGATAATTTTATAAGTATTGATGCATTACATATAAATGTTTGAAATTATTTAATAATGTAAATAATATATAAAATATGTGTTTATAATGTGTCTTATATGTATATATAAATATTTATATATTAAAATAAATATCTATTTCATCTATTTCAATGTTAAGTTAATATAACTATGCTTCAAATCATCAATTAAAAAAGCACTTTTAAAAAATTTTTTTTTTAATCATCAAAACATCTGGATTTAGTTAAAAATAAAAACTAAATATAAATAAATAAATAAAATACTATGAGTGTAAACAAACATAAGAAAATTGAGACAATTTTAAATGATACAAGTAGTTTCTGTCATCGAAGAAGTTCGTTGAAAGTTAATTTAAGTTGTGTTCCAAATTTATCAGATTCTGGCAATGATTCACTTGAACAAATAGATTTTAGTCATGATGAGGATAGTATTCTTTCTTATGGTATTCCTTTTAAAAATGTTAATATAGTTTTAGAAAGAATAAGCAAAAACAATGTACAAAATATTTTGTCAAAATCAAAAAATAAACAAATATTTAACAAAGAAGATGAATTATGTATTAATACAAGCACAATATATACTAAAAATAAACATCCAAGTAAATTTATAATTGATGATGATAAATGTGAAAGTATAAAAAAAAATGAATTGTTCTCAAAAATATCAATTACAAGTAAAATTAAATGTCAGAATGAAAAAAATAATTTAAATCAAAATATTTGTAATACACCAAAAAACAAATATAAAAGAAAAGATATTAAAAAAACAATACAATCAAATAAAAAACAATTTTCTAATGTAAAAAAAAAATTTGTTATAAATACAATTGATAATAGTATTAGTTCAAAATGTTATTCTATAAAACAGCATTCTATACAACAATTAGAAAAAGAAAGTCATAATAAATATGATGTATTAAAACTAAAGAAAAATAAAATATTTTGTGATTCTAATGAAAAAAAAAATCATAAACCTGACAATTGTATTAATTATGAAAATAACTCTCTTATATTAAATATTTCTGAAAGTGAAAATGATTTTATACCAATTGCATGTTCCACAATGATAAATGATAAATTATTAGATATAGAAAAAGAAGAACATTCTAAAAATGCACATAATTTGCAAAAGCAATGTGACAACTATGCATGCCAACTTTCATGTGAAAATTTTAAAGTGATAGGAAATAATAAAAACATAAATCTAGTTGAAACAGATGAATTAAATACAATGCAAACTTCTTTAAATGTCAATACATCTATTGATCAAATAAATGACAATAATAAATATAAAAATAAATCTAAACAGAAAGATTGTGAAAATAAAAAAAGTTTTGAAAATGAACAAAAAGATACACATGCATTAAATTTTAAAACAACACAAGATAGTGTAAATACTGTTTGTACTTCATTACAAATGAACACATCATTAGATACTTCAAAGAGATTACAAAAAAATAACGATACAATTGATGATATAAATTTAATTAAAAAACAAAAAAGTACTTTTAACTTACAAAATACAAAAAATAATAGTTTTGATGTGCAAAAAACTAATAATTACGAAATACCTTATCGAAATGATGCAATTCTACAAAAAATTCATAATTGTGGTAATATAAATAATACAATCATTTTGCATAATTCATCTTGTAAAATGTCGCACATTGACTCAAAAACATCTATAATCATTAAAGAATCAATTGATGAAAGTAAAATAGAAACAAATCAAAATATGAAATATTCAATGACATCAAATAATAAAAAAAAATGTAAAAAAAAATTATTACCTTTACATGAATCTTCACAATTATTATCATTCTCTCCTGTACAAAATGAAGAATATTCATCTCCTCCATTTTTAATATTTAGAAAAAAACATAAAAAAAATAAAAATGAAGTTAAAAAGATAGTTAATGAAAATAACACAGAAATTGTTAAAAAAAAGAAAAAAAATTATGATGGTAAAAAAAAACAAAAAAAAACAAAGAAAATAGTTAGTAAAAAAATTGTTATTAAAAAAATTGTTAATGAAGATATTTTAAAGAAATTAAAAGAAAATAAAGAAAAAGTTAATAAATTAGAAACAACACATATTTATACTTTAGAAAGAAATTTATCAGATGATTTTCAACCTACAAAAACATCATCTGTTGTTCAATTTACAAAAAAAAAACAAATGCACAAATTGAATATTGTTACAACTGGTTTGTCTAATGAGTAAGTAAAATTATTATTTATTCATTATAACTTAGAAAATAATAAATCATATTATTTTTAATCAAAAATAAATTATTTATATTTTATTATTATTATTTTATTTATATTTTATTACAAATATATTTTTAATTTTATAATTTCATATTGATTTTATAGAGATAAAGATATAGTGAGAAGTGTTGTTAAAACTCTTGGTTCAGCAAAGATTGAATTAAAAGTTACAAAAAATACAACACATATAGTAACTACAGGTGTACGTACAATAAATCTATTACATGGTATTATAAGAGGCTGTTGGTTAGTTAGTTTTGAATGGATCTTAAAATCTTTAGAAAACAATGCATGGTTAAATCCAGAAAAATATGAAATGACACATTTTTCAAAAGCAGTTTTGGTAAATAAAATATAAAATCATTAAAATGTACAATGTCTCAGATAAAAGAAATTATTTTAAATATTTACTTTTTCTTTTCTTTTATTATTTATTACTTCAACATTTTATTAATATTTTTTTAAAATTATTTAAATTATGCCATAAAAATTCTGTACATGAAAAAAAAGAGTTATTGGTATTTAAGTGGCCTTTCAGCTGAGACAAACTATATAACATATATATTTATATCTTATACGTTATGTTATAAAATAAATTATTATTTTACATTTTTATATAATTTTTTAGGAAAATCGTAAAGATAGGCAACTATTTGGAAAATCCTATGTTCCAGAATTATTTACTGCTTGTGGATGCATATACATTGAAAAAAATACAACACCACCTTATAATGTATTAAAAGATCTCATAAAAGCTGCTGGTGGTTGTATTACTGAAAATCCAGAAACAGCAAAAATTATAATTGGTGTTGAAGGTTTAAAAGAAACTTGGATTTTAGATTGTATCACATCAGGTGAATTACAGCCACATAATCAATACCAACAATTATAAATATTAATTTAAATATTATGATATTTTTAAAATAATGAATATCGAAAACAAATATCAGTTGAAACATAAATATATGTATAAATTTATATATCACATATATAAATAAAAAGAAATATATTGTAAATATAAATATATTATGATATATATTTAATAAATATATATATATATATATGATAATGTCTAAGAACACATATCTACTAAACAGAACATTGTTTATTTATTTATATAATTATTATTTATATATTATTTATTTATATAATAACATACATTATTTATTTACGTATATATTATATATTTACTATAGATAGGAATTTTGTATAACAGAAATAAAGCTAATTTTTATTT